TTCATCATTCAGGGAGAATTCCTGCTGAATGAGCTGCGGAACTGAATCTGCTTTGATGTAAAATCTATTTTATTAAGTCAAATTGTTGTTAAATAGTAATTTTATTTAATGCTGCCTAAATTAAACAGATGAAATCCACCATAAAGTCTTTGCTTAAAGTAAACCGTTCAAAGCTTTACAATTTAATGATCAGAACCGCTGCACTCACCTGTGAAATGACCAAAGCAACCTGGCCATTCTACACGCTGTTGCTCTGGATGTGGGATGGCAGTGACCAGTGTAAGAAATGGGAAAGGAGAAAGTGAGCAAGGTTCTCCCACGCCTCCGGTCACTTGATGTGTTAATCTGTCTAAGCAACAAAGCAGCATTGTGAGGCCAGATCCAGTTAATCTGAGCAAATCTGAGCACCGCAGAGCTGCCACAAATAGATCTGAATGTTAGCTGCAAAGATTTGACTCTAAAGACCAAAACTTGCTAGTGCTTTGATTGTTATAGACCCTGGAGTCAACTATTTTCTCCAGTTAAATAAACAGAGATCGATGGATTTCACTCAGTCTGCACTTTAATTGTATCTTTGCAAAGACAGAACAGTTTATCAAACGGCCCTTATTGCATCGTAATCAGCCCTGTTCTGCCTGGGGAGCGTTCGCTTCCCCTTACTTACAATAATGGAAAGTAGTCAGAGTCAAAACAAATTACAGACACTTTGGTTAAACTGTAACATGTTATGAATAAACCTGAGAAAGAATCTGGTTGGTTATGTGAAGAAGGGACGGGCGGGTTTAGGAAATTTGTGGCCCCTGGTAAAGACAGGCATGGGGCCCTATGAACTGGGAAGAAAACACATAAAACCTACCTACTCAACTTAAGAGTGAATACACTTAATTTAAGAAATTTTTATTTATTTCTAGATAATTTTTCCAGTGTGGTAAGTGAAAATGAGGACGAGCACAAAGGATGGCCTTACAGAAACATATCACAAGAATGATTGACAGTTAGGAGGACCACTTATTGAGATGATCCACCCGGAAAAACAATACCATCCTAAAACTGCCCCATTCTACAGATAGATAAATGTTAATAGAATAGACAT